TGTGTGTGTGTGTGTGTGTGTGTGTGTGTGTGTGTGTGTGTGTGTGTTTGACAGAATCTCCCTCTGTACCCCAGGCTGGAGTTCAGTGGCATGATCTCAGCTCACTGCGACCTCTGCCTTGAGGGTTCAAGCAATTCTCATGCCTCAGCTTCCCAAGCAGCTGGGATTACAGGTGTGCACCACCATGCCCAGCTAATTTTATTTCATTTTATTTTTTAGTAGACATAAGGTTTTGCCATGTTGGTCAGGCTGGTCTTGAACACCTGGCCTCAAGTGATCTACCTGCTTTGGCCATCCAAAGTGCTGGGATTACAGGCATGAGCCACTGTGCCCTGCTATCAAAGAATACAATCGCTTTGGAAACAGGTCTGGCAGCTTCTCCTAAAGTTAAACATATACCTACTCCATGACCCAGAAATTCCACTTCTGGATATTTGCCCAAGAGAAAGGAAACCATATGTCCACAAAAGGACATGTACAAGAATGTTTATAATCGCTTTATTCTTAATAGCCTCAAACTGGATGCAACCCAAATCTCTATCAGTAGGAAAATGGATAAACAAACCGTGATATATTCACATAATGAAATATCACTCAACAATAAAAAGAAATGAGTTATTGATATATACAACAAAATGTATGAACCTCAAAAACCTGCTGAATGAAAGAAGCCAGACACAAAAGAATACCTTCTGTATGATTTCATTTATTTGAAGATCTACAACAGGGAAAACTCATCTATGATGAAAGAAACCAGAACAGTGGCTGTCTTGGAGTAGGGAGTGTTGATTGGGAAGGAGCGTGAAAGGTCTTCTGGGATGGGAAAAATGATCTCTATCATCCTGTGGTCATAGGTTACAGTAATGCATATCTCTCTTCATCAAACTGTACACAAAAGATTAGTGAATTTCACTTTATGAAAAGTATAACCAACTAAAAAAATACTGGAGACGAGGCATGGAACAGGGTAGGGATGCTTCAGAATTAAACATGAAATCACAAAAACAAATAAATGAAGACATAACCGAAGAGAAAACAGGAACAAACACACTCACACATGCACATACACGCATACACATACACACTCACACACACATGCACATGCAGACATCTCTGATCTATGGACCTCCACTGGCATTTGGGACATTGAGCAGGATAACATGAACATTGAATATGAGCATAACACCACTTGTATTTTCACTCCCTTTTGGATTTGGCTTCACAGGTAATAACTGCTGGGAGTGAACAAGTTTTACAGCTTCACTCTGTACGATTAAAAATATGTATGATTAGGGGCTGGGGGCAGTGGCTTCTGCCTGTAATCCCAGCACTTTAGGAGGCCAAAGTGAGCAGATCACTTAAGGTCAGGAGTCTGGGATTATATTAAAAATACAAAAATTAGTTGGGCATGATGATGCATGCCTATAATCCCAGCTACTCAAGAGGCTGAGGCAGAATAGTTTGAATCTGGGAGGCAGAGGTTGCAGTGAGCCGAGATCGCACCACTGCACTCCAGCCTGGGCAACAGAGTGAGAATCCATCTAAAAATATATATATATATATATATATATGTGTGTGTGTGTATATATATGTGTATATATATACATAATATATGTATACATACATATGTGTATATATATAATATATGTATACATACATATATTATGTATATGTGTGTATATATATATATATTGTGTGTGTGTACATATATATATATATGTATATATATAACCAGGAATAGGGAATCATAGATGTTCAGAACCAGACAAGACTCCTTCATGTTACAGATCAGGAAACGGAGGCCAGGGAGGGGAGTTGAAGGGCCTCCACAAGGTCTTGACGTTCTCAAGGTCAACATTTACCATTCGAGGACAGCAAAGCTTACCAATGTCGGTGGGTACAAAAACAGCCCTGGCTTCTGTGAAATTTGGAACAATAATCTCTATGGTTTATCATCACTGTTTACTACTACGGACCCCGTAACAGAAGGCTAAGATGACCATTTATTGTTTTTGATGTGCCAGGCACTGTCTGGGTGCTTCACACACAGTGTCCCTAATCTATTCCAACGTCGGTGCAAGGTAAGTACTGCTGCCTGTATTCAAAGACGAACTGAGGAAGCGGGGAGGCTAAATCATTTGCTAACACTTGCCAACACACAACTGAAACTTAAGCCTCTTTCATTCTAAAATCTGTGTCTGTCCAGTAAGTTTGCTAATCCCTTGAATATTAAGTTTACTCTTCTTAATCAATAATTATACAGCTGTGCCTGTTTAGGTATTAAATGTAATAGCCTGTGATTATTTTGGTCTCTTATCAGATTTGTGTATTTAGTAATACTGTCAAATATTTCCTTCCTAGAATTTCTCAATTTAGCATTTGAATACGTACACTGAAATTTTCATCCTGTTTTTCTTCATACTTTTCAGATAGACAGATTCTTGATCGCTTTATTTGTACTCATTGTGACACTAACAAAAGGGAGAAATGAAAGGGGAAAATAGTTCAAATGAAGAAAATCTGAAAATCATGGAAGCACGAGGACCTTCCTAGTCATTTTCTCAATTATCAACAAAAAATAAGATGCAAATAACTCCAAGTATGTTGTGATGGTCATGAGTTTGTGTATTTTGCTTTGCTTTATTTTTAAATAATAAAATTATTTAAGGCTACAGATTTTCCCCTGAACATAGCTTTAGCTGTATCCAGTAGGTTTGGATATAATTTTTTTTTCTTTTCCCTTTTGGATACTTAATTTGCGGTTTCAATTTTGATTTCTCCTGTGAACTAGGAATTATGTGGAAAAGAATTTTAAATTTCCCAATAATTAGAGATTTAAAAAATCATTTTATTGCATATCTCTTCTTTGAATGAAGGAAAGTTTAAAAATCTGCTTTCGGGAAATTAAAGTTTTATTTAATGCCATTAATCAAGTATATGATTAATTTGTGTGTTACATGAATATAAGAGAAATATTACAGTTTATTGTATTTTTGAAATCCCTTATATCTTTAATTGTATACTTGGACTGTTCTATTCTGAAAGAATATTGCAACCTCCCACAATAAATATATTTTTATCAATTTCCCTTGTATGTCTGGGGTTTTTTGCTTTACATATATGGTTGCTATATTTTGTATTCTATTAGGGTTTATCACTTATACAGAGCTTCTTCACTGATTAACATTGTCCATTATATATCATTCATCTTCCGCAGTTAATACTTTTTGGCTTTAAATAGCATTTTAATTGATATTAATGTTGCTATTGGTGCTGATTTGGTTTTGGTTTTACCTTTGCATTTGCTCAGTGTGTCCTTGTCTTCATTTCCAATCTGTCTTTGTAACTTTGTTTCAGTATGTTTCTAGAAATAAATTGCCTGGCTTTTATTTCATGACTAACATGACACTGTTTGTCTTCAGAGAATTTAGCCAGTACAGAGCAACTGTGATGCTTCACTACTGGATTTTGTTTTCTGCATCATTTTTGCTTGCTATTTGCCGTTTTTTCTTTCCAGTTTTACTTTTCCTAATTTTCTTCATTTTCCCCTCTAATGTTAGTTTTGGAAACATACTGTTTTTCATGATACTAGTAGTTTTTATCACATGTGATCATTACAACATTTGGGTTTCTTCCCCAATATATAAAATGTAATCTCTATGCTCCCAGAACCTTTTACTTCCCCGTTCCTCCCACGGCTGCTGACTGAGAAGGTACCCTTTATTTCCTCATTTCACATTGTACTTTTCACTACATCCTCTGCTCGTGCTCTTGTGCATGCATGTGTGTGCACGTGCACGCACACACACACACACACACACACACACAGCTGCCAGCAGGGCTCATGTGGAGAAGGAGCGCGCCCTCTAGGTTTCCCATACAGCAAGATTTTGTTGCTGTTGTTACTCTGGGGTTTGTTTTTTTCTTTTTTGAGCCCTGGTTTGGGCCTGTCCTATATTCTGCTTCCATTTTATACCAAGGCAATCATATCCCAACCATCCCTGCTTTAGACAGGGGTAGTTTTCGACTTATCAGCTGAGCATCTCCCCACCCCAGTGTCCTTTGCAGATCTGGGCCAATACTTGAGCATCAAGCTGCTTTATGCCTTTCTTAGAGTGCTGGGAACTATCGCAGTGGCCACCCAGCAGCTTTACATGGACTCTCTCTTGGTTTAGTGTGTGCAGTGTGGGACTTCCTGACTGTCTGCACAGCATTCATTCCAAAGCAGAGGTCCATACTCCATCAGGGCCCTGAGCCAAATACTAATACATGAGTAGCCCCTTTGGTCCACAAATATTTATTGAGCACCTACTATATGCCAGGCAGGGCTTTAGGGGTTGGGGATAATGCACTAGTGAAAGACAGTAATGGAGCTACCAAGAGGCTCCTACTTGAGCTGAAACTTCAAGAGGAGAAGGAACCAGCCACATGGAGTGATGGGGCAAGACCTCTCCAGGCTTAGAGAACAACAAGGCAAGGGCCCTAGGACAGGAACAATTTTGGTGTTCTACGAACTGGAAGACGGTGGAGTGGTTGTCACATACATAGTAAGTTGGCCGGGGACAGGGAAAAGACATACAGAAAGAGATCAAGGAGGCAGGACTTGGATCACGGTGGGAGTGCCATTGTATTTCTGATAGCGTAGACTCTTGTAGTCTAAGTAACTTTATTTCACAACAATTAATAAAATTCTATTGATTCAAGGTGTGGATCACCCATGAACATTGTTTTTATGCTATTTGTCTTCCTCAAATTTGGTAGCAAAGTTCTGTGTAAGACTTAAGTTTTTAGCTACTGCAGACATGTCTGTGCGTGCGTCTTAAGTTTTTGACCTGTCTCTACACCTTGGGAGTCCCAAATGGGATCCCTGATCTCCCAAATGATTTTTTAAAAATTCACACACACTGAGGTTCACTCTTTGTGCTATAAAGTTCTACGGGTTATGACAAAGCATAGTGCCATGTATCCACCATTATAGTATCACACAAGACAGTTTCACTGCCCAAAAAATTCTCCATGCACCACCTGTTCAATTCTCTCCTCCTCCCCTTAAACCTGATTACTTCTTTGGAGATCATTTTGGTATTCTGGGGGTAGGCCAAGAAAAGCCAGCATCGCCCACCTTGCCCTGTGGCAGCCTATGGATGAGTGTTGCCATCTGTCTGGACACAAAAAGTCATCTTACCTCCAGAGTTCTAGAACTTGTCAATGACATCACTCTAGAGCAAGACGTTCTACTTGTAAATACACTATTGAGATGTAATCTTAGACAGACTTTTACTTTAGGGACGGAGTCTAGAGGAATTATTGGCCCCAATCCTTAATCTCTCCCTGTATCCACAACTTTGGCCATGTAACCTTGCAGTCCTTCCCACTAAAGATGCAATGTATTTCTCCCACCCTTGAATGTGAGGATGGCCATGTGGCTTTCTTTGGCTAATGGGTTGTTAAAAGAAATAAACCTGGGCTGCTCACTGTCCCAGGAGAAAAATGATTCACCCCAGCTGACCTGCCTTCGTGACTCACAAACCGTGAGTGAGAAATAAATGCTCACTCATTTGCTGCATGCCAGAGACTAATGTAGCAATAGCTGACCGGTAAGGCACAGCATTGATTTAGATGCGACATCCCTGGGACCCTCAAAATAAGAAAAGGCTTTGTAGAATCAGTTCTTTCTCAAAAATATTAAATTCTATCACCATCACCAAATAGTGTTTAGAAAGCAATTGCATTTTAAAATAACAGTGTGGTTGAAGTTCTCTTGTATCTTAAAACCTGCCAAATGGCAAGGGTGTTTTAAACATCAAACACTTGAAAGGTTCTCATGAGGCCTGTAGCCACTGGTTATTTTAATGTGCTGGAAGCTGTGAGTGCTTTAATCTGGTCCCTTCTCAGAGAAGATTGGCAAACCCAGATCAGTCATGGACCTGGCATGAGTTAATTATGTGGCACTAGAATTTCGATTATTATATTTGTAAGATAGTAGTTTTTCAACAGGTAATGGTCCTGCGATTTTTTTTTAATCTTGTGATATCCCCCAATGGTTCTTTAATTCTCTTTTTATCTTCCTGAAAAACTTACCCTTCTTAGGGGAGCTCTGGAGTGTTGATTTTTTTCTGGCTAGGTACCTCTGTGGCCACAGCACCTTTGCCCGAATTCTTGTTCTGCATCCAAGAATAATGAGGTACACAAGTGAAGGGTGAAGAAGAGTTTAATTATTTAGTGTTAGAACCATCTCAGAGGATTAGGTAGCTTCTCTCTGCTGGCAGGTCGGCTTTGCAGCTCTTAGCGGAGAGGATACTCCTCTGCAGCTGGTCTTCTGGTCCCATGATCTCCCTGCCCTCTTTGTCCTCTGGCGGTCCTCTGTCCTGCTCTGGCTGAGCCCAGGGCTTTTATGGACCTCAGAAGGGAGGAAATGCATGCCAATTGGCCCATGAGCAGCCACGGGTGGGCCTGGAAGAGGCACACGAGTTCCCACTCCAGTCCATGGGACTGACCACCCAGCCCCTCCCTATTCTTCAGGTTCTCCGTGGCCTGATGGTGGGGCCTTACTGGGGACCCACTTCCTTCCGCCCATTACTCTGTCAGCCTCCTGCCGGGACTTGGCCCCAACCCCTCTGGGAGATTGAATGGAGTGCTGGGAGCAGAGAGAAGCCAAGCAGTGGGAGCAGACACCCCTGAGGCTGCAGAGACAGGGATCCTTCCTGGGGCATCCGAGGGTGTAGGCTGCAGAGATGCCTAGGTCCTGTGCGTGGGAAGGCAGCACAGTTGCAGCCGGGAGCTCCCACCCCCTCAACTCAGAAGAGGCAGGGCTCCCACTTGTCCTCGGCTCCCCTTCCCGGTTCTCCCAAGAGCACAGGGGGGCTCAGATCCACAGCTGCAGTTTGGGCAGCTGTAGCCTCACCCAGTAGGGTGGGCTCCTTCCTGCTCCCTAGAGCAGGAGGCCTGGGTCTGCAGCTGTGGTTTGGGTGGCTGTAGCGGCATGGGGGACTCCTGTCCCAACTCAGAAAGGACGGGGCTCCCAGCTGTGCTTCCCTGCTGCAGCCAGCACGATGGCACCGGCCACTGCCATCACCCTTGCACACACCCTATTCAAAATCAAAGTATGTATAGTGGATTTCTATGCTTCCTAGAAATATCTGTTCTTTGTTTTGAACATTTACGGTTATGTAAATGTGTTTAAAATGGTTCCACTTTGATTAAAAGTGCTTTTGTGAATAAGTAAAAAACAACATCCCTTTAGAATAAAGACTGCAATAATTTGTAAGAAAGTAAGAAATAGAATGCAGGTTATAGGAAGTTGTTTTCATTACGTGTTAGAATTCTCCTTTCTGCAGGGGCGATGTATGAGGCTGGAGCAGTGCTTATCAGCCTTGGCCGCCCAGTCGAATGACCTGGAGAGATTTTTCAAATCCTGATGCCCAGGCCACTTTCCAGACCAATGACAGCAGAACTTCTGGGGACAGATCATAGGTGCTAAAGCTCCCCAGGTGATCCCCATGCACAGCAGAGTGAGAACCACTGAACTAGAGGGGGGATCTAATTGGTAAATTGCACTTGCGAAGGTTAAGTTGGCAGTTTCGTCAAGATCTAAGCCGGAAGCAGAATCCACCCTCATTTTTTTCAGATGATGGGGCTTAAGTAAAGGATCTACTTATTGAGGACATAAACATGGGGTAAGGCTCCCAGAGACTTGTGAGAGAAGGAAGCTGTTACCACCTCTCCCTGTGAGAGCCTGGGTTGTCAGGGAGCTGCTGTCCCCTGGAAGGAACAGAGCCATTTGGAGGGACATGACACAGGAAACAAGCAGGGAAAAAATCCTCCAGCCTTGCTTCTCCTTCACTCTCATATAATCTGTTCTCCGGGCATGGCTCTTACTGGCAAGCCCAATGGATGCTTACTAGCAAGATGCAGTCCAAAGGGTTAACCTCCGGAGGCACCAGCCAGGCCAGAAAAGGTGGTTAAAGGGAATTTGGAAGCCAAATAAGATGTAACCAACACAACTGGCCAGGCTTGCTGAATGAAAACCACAAGCAGAGGATATGGCTGACTACTGAATAAATTTTTGAATTAGTTTTTTAAAAA